GGGATGGCAGGTATGGGGTGGGAACTGGTTCTTGGCAAGGGGTTGTGGTGGTGGGAGTGGCTGTTGTGGTGGGTGTGATGTTCGTGAAGTTGGGCCAATAAGTCAGGGGTTGAGTGTAGGCCATGCAGGGTGATTTGGGGGATCAATTGCACCCAGTTGAGGAACTGAGTGAGGTGTGTTTGTATTTCCATGGTGGTGACTTCCTGAAGATGGAGTATTTGCATTAGGTGGTCGTGATGTATGGGGTCCGGCTGTCCATCTTGGATGAATGTCATCAAGAGGTCGTTGTGGTTGAGAAGGGTGGTGAGCTGTTGATGAAGAAGTGGCATGTTCAAAGGAATGGGTGGCAATGGGAGGGCGATCATAGGCGTAGGTGGTGGAGGAATTTGATGAAGTAGCAGTGGTGGAGGTAGAAGGTGGGGTATGTTCATGATAGGTGGTAAGTTTGGGGGGTTGGGAATTAGGTGTAGAATTGGTGGTGGTGGGATTGGGTAGTAGTTGTTTTGAGTGTAGTTGAATTGGCGTGGAGGTCGCCGGGGGCGTTGTTGAGCGTTGTTGAATCGAAACATGTTGTGGTGAGTGGTGTTGAACGGTAGGAGATGGAGGAGGGGGAGCAAGTGATGATAAGGGGTGGATTTGTATGGATTGTTGTATAGTAGTAGTAGAAGGCGGTGGAAGTTTATCGAGGCCATCATTATGTTGCAAGATTTTGGCAGTCCTAGGTGATATCGCCGGCGTCAGTTTTGTTGCGTGTTCCGTTGTCATAGACTGATTAGTAGTAGACGTAGTGGCAGTGGTATTGTGATGGAAATACCGCATGGGATCTTGTTTTGTATGGTCTATTATGGAGAAAAGGACCCTCTATAGCCTCTCAAAATTTTAACAGCCATGTTTTTCCCCATTGACACGAAATGTCCCTCCAGTCCAAACATATTACATTTAATAGCCTGAAATATCTATTTTGTATATTTTTTGCATAGTGACAGTCTTTTTGTATATTTTTTGTATAGTGGCAATCTATTTTGTATAGTGACAGTCTATTTTATATATATTTTGTAATTTTTATCATTCCAACTTGTATAGACTGTTGTATGATGTATAAAAGTGTATAGGGATAATTTTACATAAATACAACTCACACACCTGACTTGCAACATAATAGCCTAGATACCACTTTGCAAATCTATAGCCCAAAAATAATAGGCTAATTCCAAAAAGACAGCTTATTTCACACAATCAACTACGGTTATTGCTCCCTCTTTATACAACCAGTTATTTTCATACACTATTATGTGCAATTGATGAAGCAATCCAACAGGATAAAAGAAAAGTAAAAACTTGGTAAATGAATTGTAGAATCCCTCCAACGCGTACAAATCTTTTTTATACAGCACATACACGAAAAAGAAGAAGAGAAGGAAGTGTCAAACTTCCGTAGAGGCCTCTTACACACTAACAATGTATATACATCCTTATAAACTGGAAAAAAAAATATAATTATACAATATTATACACAAATATACACAATTATACAATACTGTATAACTTGTATAAACATGTATAATAGTGTATAAGAGGTGTTTGTATATTCATATACACAATTATATGCTATTATACAGTGTTTATACAAATTGCTACATAGTTATGATTTTTATCCAAGCCTCGAGTTGTAGTAGAAGGTATTGGATGATTCAACTCGTTATAGGTTAGCAATTTTGCACCAATGATTCGGAATTCAACGCACAGATACAATACACCCAATTTCAGATTCGAGACTTCAAGGAGGACAAAACACATATCATGGGAATCAATAACTTGCGATGAGCCAAGAAGGTCAACAAGCTTAAGTCTGGAGCTTTCTGCTTCATCGTGTTGAAGATTGATTTAGCTTCCGATCTTTTCTCCTCGGAGCTCGACCAGACATTGGAAATTAAGGTTTCAAACTACAAAGAGTCAGACCCAATTTCAAAAATCTTCAATATTCTTCTGCTTGCCACCATGGACGACGGAGTAGGAGCCCGAGCCTTCTTCTAGCCATTGATGGAAGAACTGCGTAGGGGGTAGGGGATGGGGAATAGCGGGGGCTAGGTTAAGAGAGGATGAGGGATCTATGTGGGTTGGAAAGAAAGAAGCGAGAGACGGTGAGAGAGAATTTGGTGTGCTGGGAATGAAGAAAGAAGAAAATAATAAAAACCCTAAAAGTGTGTCTTTAATAATGGGCTAAAGGCTGAAAAGTTTTTTTCAAGTTATGTACAACATGGGCTAAATAGGGTAAGAGCTTCAAATCTGGGCCACTTTCGGTTGGGCTGCTAGGCCAAGTGACAAGGGCCGTAATTCTTTCTATTCTTTTACCTTAACCTTATCTATCAAACGCGAATAGACTATTTTGTCTAGAAATTTATAATTAAGAAGCTGTTGAATTTCTATTAAAACAAAAATTAAAGAACGGTAATGAAAAAAAATAATAGGTCCACCTCACAATAAGAATAAAGTAATTCTATTGAAAAAAAAAAGAAACCGAGAGAAGTAAAATGTACAAAGGCTATCGCATATATGTGGACAAAGATCAATCTTGTTTGTTTTGTTTACTTATTTACTACTTGTCTTCGTCTTCGTTCGTTGATTCTGCCTTTTACCTTAACCTCCTTTTCTTTTTTTTTTGTGGCAAACACGAAATCGGCAGCTTCAATCTAGACGCAAGTAAACTCATGTAGCAAGAAGAATAGAGTAGTATCAGCCGATGATGATACAAAATATAAGAATTAGAGTTCAAGTTATAAGGGCATATCTAAATATTTTACTAGTCTAATAATTGACTGACTGGAACCACTAGCAAAAGCCCCGTGTGCTATTCGTGCTTTCAACAACATGAGGGAAGGAAGAATCCGCAAGAATAAGCTTCTTTTTCCTTGGGAATCCTAACTTAGTAATATTGACTGCACTGACGATGTTTATAACTTTTGGCAACAAAATTTGCTTATACAGATGCATTGTCATGATCCATGGAAGCTCTGGTGGCTCCAGCATCAACATGCTCCTCTGGTCCTCTTCCTTAGGCTGCTCCTCTGGTGCTTCGACTAGCTTTGATGTTGAATCAGCTTGAGGCTTATGAGTAGTTTCAGCCGGAGGCTGCTCTGGGTTTTCAGTTGCTAGCATTATTATTATTTTTAGGCTTTGACTTGTATGGGATCATTTTGTGGCTACCAGGTGATATAAGTTTGGCCCGAGTGGCTATAAATGAATTTTGCTCATTTTTCTAGGTCAATAGGCCCAGACTTTTGTAAGCCCCATTATAGCGGGCTGGGAACGACTGGTCTTAGTCGATCTGGGCTAGTCTCACAACCCCAGCCCAGAACTTGCCTGAGTTAACTTGTAATTCTTCAACTCAAAAGTTGAAAATTAAATCCTGTACATTATATTGTATTTTTTCCAGTTTAAGGTCACCATCAATGATACAAACAAAGCTCTTTGACATAATTATCCAAATTTTTAACGAAATTAACTTAATTAATATTTAAACTGATGAACTTAATGCATATAAGTTATTTAGAAATTGAATAATTAATATAAGTTCGAATAATTGATACTGAAACTGACATTATTATTAGACATTTTGATGAATTGTTGTTGAAAAATGCTACACTATCATTTAAAAGAGTAGGATTTTTCTCTTGAAAATGACCTAATGGTCCACGGTTTTATTTACAACTTGTTGGCTCTTTGTCTTTAAGAATACAAACATATGTAAGTTTGAACGGCTTTGGTCAAACAGGAAAATATGAAACTTTAACATGGTCATAACAGTACTGATCGATCATGCACGTGAATGTGCGTTAGTCATCTAGCTGCAGAAATTCTAGTGTTTCTAATGGTTGCTTTTTTCAAGTTTTGTACGAAAATGTGAAAACAGAAGTTTCACTTTTACCACAAATGGTAAATTTTTTGTTTCCAATATCAGTCGAACCATCCTATAAATGAAATTAAGGATTTAAGTTACTTGGCTAGCATTTGGACATAGATTTGATTGAAAATTTTGAAAAAAAAAAATTCTTCACTAAGTTGTGTTGAAATTTTTGAAAGTTGTAGTTGTGTTTGGACATGCATTTTATTTGACGAAAAGTTGAAGTTTTGTGAGTGGAAGAAAAAATTTCACCAAAAACTGCCATAAACCTGTTTGTGGAAACTTGAAATTTTTTTTTTTCTAAAACATGATCATATTTTATAAATTAAACAAACATGTTTTCAAAAAAAAGTGAAGCCAAAATCTATGACCATACGGGAGCTTGATCAAAGCCATGCTTTTCTTTTCTCCTTGCTCTTTTGCTTCTCATTTTAGAAATTCTATCTTTAGTTACTACGCAAATACAGTTTTGAACATACTTCAGAAAATAACAACAATATTTGTGGATGATACAAATTTAATTAGGATGAAATACTAATCTAATCTCACAACAAAAATCACTAAGATCAACAAAAGAAGCAAGTAAAGTCTATTATGGCATTAGTGTATTGGTAAAAATAAATATTACACGTGGAATTATATGAGTGGCTGATATGACAAGACACGTGGATCAGTAAGAAAGCAACAGTTGGAAAGAGGCATTAAAAGAGGCACGAGTCGTAATAGATACGAGCAAATCACCCATGAGAGGAGAAGATAAGGTCAGTCAAGTTTAAATGGTTACCTGAAGAGGTACCGGCGGAATGGATCAATACATATGAAAAGGAAAGATTCATGAATCATCAGTTAATGAGCATGAATGATCTCGAACGTTACAGAATCTTCATAAATAGTTATGATACCAATTATAACGTCGCATTAATATCATTAATGCTCATAATGATCCGCTCATAAAAGAGGAAAGACGTTATACTTATAGACTCCTATAAAAGGGGAAAAAATATCACTTGTACAGACACGTTTTGATTACTATTGAAATAAAATTACTTTCTTTTGCTTACTACTGGCTATTTTCTCATATTTTAATTTCCTTTCTTATCATTAAGTAAATATAAAATTTATTGATCATCAGTAGCCCGAGTACTTCATAAAATAAGCTTTGACCGAATTACACAAATTTTGGTTAAACAAATTGGTTTCGTTACCGGAAATCTGATAATCTTTTTACTTTCCAAATTCTTTTTTCTGTCAAAAATCATGTCGACTGCTAACGACAACAACCAACAAAATCAGCAAAATCAGTTGAACCAGCAAAATCAACAAAGAGATGGAACTCCAGTCCCTTCACCCCGAAACTCTCCTCAATAGTCCCGAGAAGGGTCACCTAACAAATCAGCATCACATGCGAATGTCACGACCCGGATTTCCCACCCTCGGGAGTCGTGATGGCGCCTACTCGTAGAAGCTAGGCAAGTCAAATTTTAATTACTTTCCGTTTACAACATAATCCCTTTTAACAATTCATGGCAACAACATAAAAATAATAAAATTAAATAGTAGCGGAAGTCTTAATTATAGAAACTGAATCAACATGCGGAGTAGCCAAAATAATCCTTTACCCAAGACTGGTGTCACAATACTCACGAACTGCTAAGAAATACTAAACACAAACGTCTGAAAGAAAACATAAGCTGTTTGTCCCGAATACAATGAGGCAACAGGCTAAAAAGAGAGAATAAGGGAGACGTGGGGCTTGCAGACGCCTGCAAGGCTACCTCGGGTCTCACCAGACTGAAGGCCTGCTCCCGTACTAATGCTGTTGCTGCTGCTCGAAACCTGGACCTGTGCAAATAGCACAGAGTGTAGCATCGGCACAACCGACCCCATGTGCTGGTAAGTGTCTAGCCTAACCCCGGCG